TCTCTTCTGAATTAGCAGCATCAGAGAAATGTTGTGGGATATTTTTTGAACTATGCTGAATCTCATTATTGACCATCTCGACTTCATTATGGACTTCTGCATCACCAACTTCTTCATGCATAGTGGTTGTATTTGGTAACTGAGGTGGTAGTTGCTGGCAGAAGGTTTTAGTTGTTGCAACGATTTGAAGTGGTTGAGAGTTCAAGCTAGTGTTAACTAGAGACTTTGTAGAGGTGCAGCTTTCTTTCCCTACAAATGGAAAAACATATTCATTAAATGTAACATGGCGAGAAACATATGCTCCTCCATCGGGCGCCAAGCATTGGAACCCTTTGAGTTGAGGGCTAACTCCCAAATACGTGCATACTTGAGACCTGAAGGACATCTTATACCTTTGAAACATTCTCAGATGAGGGAAGCATTGGCAACCGAAAACCTTCATCATGGAATATTCAGGCTTTCTTTCAAACAATTTTTCAAATTATGACACACCTTGTAGCACCTTGGTAGGTAGGCGATTAATTAGGTACACTGCATACGACCAGTACTTGATAGGTAATAATGCTTAGGCTAATAGAACTAAGGCAAGTTCAATAATGTGACAGTGTTTTCTTTCTACCACACCATTCTGTTCAGAGGTGTGTGGGCATGTTAGTGATGTAGGCTGATCTACACGTTTTGGTGGAAGAGAGTAGATAGCCTTATTGTGTCCCGATCTAGGATTGATAAGTATTGATGTCCTTGAATTATAAGCCTGGGATGTAACAAAGATAAGAAAGAAATATGGTTAATGATGAAATAATAAATGGAATAATAAGATAAGTAATGAAATGAAATAAAGATAGAATAGAGATGGCTACGGAATTGATGGTCTTGATGGATGATGTTGATGATTAAATGGAGATGGTGGTGAAGTTGTATCTCAAACCCGCCAAAGAGAAAATAATGCTAGGAAGTACAATCTTGATATTCACAAACTTGTCTGAGGGGTGGTAGAAGTGTCTTCAACCCACTAGATATCAATCTAGGAATTTTGGAATCAGGATGGAAGGTATGTCGCCACAAGTATATGAATTATACTTGCTTAATCGATAAAGTTCACAAAGAACTTTGAAGAGAAATTAACTCACAAGAGTAATTTTAATATATGAGACGAGATAAGTACAAATGATGGCAAGCCTCTCAATTTATAAGAACTGAGAGGTCTTGGTCGAATGGTTACATAGGTATTCAGTTGGTACATTACTCTAGATGGAAGTACATAATGCTTGAGATGAATGGATAGGTCCTTTGGCTTGGTGTTGGTTCGGCTAACCCTTCATGAAGGGGCTTGATGGTTCGGCTAAGGATGGGGAGACATCTCCCTTGGACGAATATCCATGCTTGTTCATCTTGGCGCCATTTTTCTCTTCCTTGGCCAAATGGTGATGTGCCTTCTCATGTTTGGCGTAAAAGGCTCTCATGTGCATGGCATATGTTGTGGCTGAATAGGCATGGAGCTCTATCTCATGTCCCTTGGTGATTCAAGCCTCCAATGGTTGCAATCTCTTCACCAACGTTCTTCTAGATGAAAAGGCATCTTCATGGGCAGCATCATTCATGAAAGGTCACAATTGTGAATGAGCTGAAGGTGAGCTGGTCATCTAGGAGAACGTTGGTGAAGAGATTGCAACCATTGGAGGCTTGAATCACCTATGACCAACGTTCTCCTAGATGAAAAGGTCAACTTCATGTGTGAATGAGCTGAAGGTGAGATGGTCATAGGTGACTTGTAGCATGGTGAACGTTAGGGAAGCTCCTTGTGAAAAGGTACCTCTTGAGTTGGCAACTATTCGCGAAAAGGTACGATTTCACAAATTTTGACTTAGGACATATTTGAAGTGTCCTAAGTGGTGGTAATGATGGTGTAGCTCCCCAACTGAAATGAGGTCATCTTGTAGCTCAAATCTTCAGCTCAATCCAGTTATGAGCTCACGGGCCTCCATATAACTTTTCACTAATGGGTCCTTATGTTCTCCTAAGCGTTCCTATGTGAGTTTCCTTGTTGTTACATGCTCCATTTAGCTCCATTGTAGCTCCCAAGTGTTGGTCGAATATGCCTACATGCATAAGATAAGGAAATAAACTAAGTATATAAACTTATATAATGTGTATATTATAAGAATGTGACTATAGTATATAATAATAACTTATATCTCACATATTAATGGATAAGTTATTATCATAATAACTATATAATCTATATATATATATGTGATAATAATTATATTATAACATATGAAATAAGCATGTTTATGTATAAAGTTAGAAAGTTTGTTCCCTTGTAAGGTTGGAATAGCCATTGTAAATATGATTTTGAATTGGATCACATCATCCTTGTAACCCCCTAGACCCGGCCTATGCGTTTCGACTACGTCTAGTGGATCACATTCATGATTCTTAAAGACATTTTTCCGAAACCGTTATTCTATCACTTAAAATCATATTTATAAATGACATTTATGAAATTATAATTAATTATACTATAAAAAAACCAACTCATAATTATAAGAAAAATAACAAGTTAATTAAAACATGTCTTAAAAATCCAAATTACAATAAACCAATATAAATTAGCAAAAGGAGTACTCATTATAAAATCTAATACTTTTAAAATAAGGCCCATGTTACCATAATAGAGTCAACTTGAAAGATAGAATATTACAATACGATATACTTCAAGAGATATGTTGATCCTCCAAGTGTCTGATCCGAGTATCTAACCAACAGTATCTGAAAGGGGAAAATATTTTCGAAAATTGAGCTAGGCTCAGTGTGTCCCAATAATACAATAAAATCATAGTTGGTATAGTAATTGAGTAATAGTTCAGAAATTCATCATCAAACCATAATTAAGTTTAACTTTTGAAACTCCTAATTTAAAACCCTTCTCCTGTACACCATCCGCAATTCCCCAGAACTGCGTCCATAGGGCTTACCTTAAACACACAGCAGAAAGGAAGCCAACCTAAAGATAGGCTTTCGGGCCTGTATCCTTAAGTTCGTAAGTCCGTAATTCTGTAAGTCCGTAAGTCCGTAGGGCTTACCCTAAGCACACAGCAAAGGAAGCCAACCTAATGAAGCATCTTGAGGCCCGTGATCCTACCAAAGAGTCACATTAGGTCCATAAGGTTTACCAGCTTGATCAAAGCTGTACCTCCGTAATGCAATCCAACCCAAAATCAGTATTTCAAAAATACTATTTATACAGTAAGCATAATTTCCCTAATTCCATATTCAATATTATCATATACCAATGAAAACCAATAATTATATATCAGTCATATTCCATAAACCATCACCAGTAAACAGGTGGATTAATAAAACATTAAACCATAGCTTTCAATGTACCATATTTCAAAACATATAAAACAATCAAGTAGTACACAGGGAACACACCTCGACAATAGGTTCAAATAGTAGATCTAGAGATTGCTGGCCTCGCCACGCTCTGCTATTGTTTTCGAACCTAATCCATAATAACAGTATATTACTAATGGGTAACAAAATTAATTTCTGAAATCATAAAATTTACGGGTCTTACGGGTGAATACTGGCACACGCGGCTTAACTGATCTAGATGAGTTGGGTCGAGCTGTCGAACGGTCAGGAGAGTCTCTTGTACCTTCAAACATTAATAATTTATCAGTCCCAAGTCTTACTCAACCATTCAAAGCTTAAACTCTTTAGTACATAAGCATTTTTCGGGCTTGACTATCAATTTGAAGGCTTTCGAGTCTGAATTTGATCAAACGGAGTGCGGAATCGGAATCAGGGCGTCGAACAACATAAAGTATGACTTTTCAAAAATTCAAATTCTTGGTCAAAATCAAAGTCAACGGGTTTGACTGATGATTTGGAGGCCTTCGGGTTCGAATTTGGCAAAACGAACTTTGGAAAAGGATTCGGTACGTCGAAAAATGTCATAATAGGTTTACTCGAACAAAATCAAAGGTCGTTTAATGACCGTTTCAAGCCAGTCAAATGGGTTCAATAGTTCACATTCGAAAATTACAAAAAAATCACCTTTATTAAAAATAATTACCAAAATATCACTGTTTTACAAATAATTCCCAAAATGTCATCGTTTTAAAAATAATTACCAAAATGTCACCTTTTTCAAAATAATTCCTAAAATATCACTGGGTCGGGTCGGGTCAACGGGTCAGGTTAGGTCAGACCAGTCAAGCCGGTCACAACATCACCCAACCGTCCACATCTTTCCCCACGAGCAGGGGCGGCACGTGGGGGCGCGTGAGACCTCCTCCGGTCTCCAAAAATTCCTGCAAAAATTTCCAAAAATTATTTTAAGCGATTTTGAGTCACTTACCAACCTCCCCCACGCGCCGCTGCCTACGGAGACAAGAAAGACACCGTTGGACTCGGAAAGACACAAGGAACACGATGGTGCGGGAGGTTTCAAAAACCGATCAACGATCGAAGATGAATTTAAGATTTTATCGGCGGTGGTGCTAAAAAAACGTCGAGACTTTGACTCGAAATTCACGTCGTTTGGCAGCATTTCGCTATTATTGGTTTACTGGTGACGCGATCACGATCGGACCTCGACGATCGATTGTGGATCTAGGAAGGAAGCAAAACAACCTGCATAAGATAATGGTAACAAATGGATAGTTTACGGTGGTAAATGTGATGGTAAATGGTCGGTTTAAGAGATAGTAGCGGAAGACTCGGATTTGGTAATAATATGGATAACGGATTTGGTAATAATATGGATAACGAATTATGGGATGGTGAAACGATAGTATCTTAAAGAAGACTCAAAGAAGAACCGATGTTAAAGAACAACGACCCAAATTTATATTGCTTCGATAAGGGATGGTAAATCGGACTTTGACCCGCTATCTATAAAGATAGGAACCATAAGTATCAAGGTGAAAGGGATGACGCCACAAGTAACGAATTACTTGATAAGTCGATAAAAGTCACGAAGGACTCGATTAGAGAAAACTCTCACAATTTCATTAAAACAAAGTCTATTCATTACAATGCAAAATGAAGCTATTTATAAGACTAGAAATACAAAGGCTAAAATTATAACATGCATGGACGTATGGTATAAAATGCATGGCTGATTGTTTCAATTTGCATGGCCTCTTGGTGCTTGTTGACGTGGACTCCTTTAGACATAATTTCAGCTCAAATTCTTGCATGATTTTCGGTCATATGGTTGGTGGAGTGTGTTGGCCGAATCTCATTAAAAGATATCTAGTGGAGATTAAACAAAGTGGAGACAAGTGAGCACATGGGCTGTTGGAGTGTTTCACGCACATGGTTGTCTTCAAGTGTGATTTGGCGTGTAGTGGCCTTCTTTGTGAGTGATGGTCTAGTCATGGCTGATTAAATAATACATGAGCTGTTGGAGTGTTTCACGCACATGGGATGTCTAGTGCCTCCTTTTCACGCACATGGGCTGTTCCCTTAAGTGCTTTGGCTTGTATGCTTTGCAATATAAAGCTCACGTGGATTTGTCTTCATCTTTTCCCAAGTGGAGATAATAGTTTAATCAAGGAAAAAGGCTGGTGGTGAATTTCCAACCAAATTCATTCTCCCCAAATGCTCATATTCTGCCGTGAATTGTTGAATAGGTGGGTGAGCCATTCTTAATCCTTTAAATGCTGGAACGTGCTGGAAATGTGTTTAAAATAATGCTCCATTAACCGTGCATCATGGGCATACTCTTTGGTGTTCCTTTAATGCTCCATAAGCTTCCAAAACGTTCTCCATTCTTTATCAACACACATGGTCGTGTTATGTGCTGGATTTGTGTTCAAAGAATCCCTTAAAAACCGTCCAGCATGGGGCTGATCACTTGGTGTTCCTATATGATTAAAATAACAAGTTATTTTAATGTATAGTGCTGTTATAACAAGAACAAGTGCTGCCCATCACATGTTGTCTCCCACATATCCTTAATTGCCGTAGAGTGAGCTGGATAAGAGCTTCAATACGCTGCTCCAACTTGTGCTATATTTTAATAGCCTTGTTGTCGTTTTGTACCATGAAAATATGTTAAATAACCTCCTCAAAAACCGCCCAGTATGGAGCATGAGCTTTGTGTTCCCTACAAGTGCAAATAAACTAATATTAACGTGATATTATAAGTGATAAAACTTGCTGCCATGTGTGTCTTGTGTCTTGTGAGCCTTTGTTTGCATTAAAGAGCACGTGAACTTATTTTATAAATGAGCTAAATGTTTAATATGTATGATTACTAAAATATGCAAGGATGATTGCAAATGCACGGCAAATGATACATAAATGCAGAATAACACGTTAAAATAAGTTACACAAGTGATATGCTGAAACGTGAAAACATGAATAAGTAATTTTATTTCTCATGAACAACACATATGCATGAATGCTAAGATGACAAATATTAATGAGCTAACAAATAATTAAATATGAATGCAAATGAATTGCACAATGATATGTGAACAACACGTGAACTTAGTTGAATAACCTAGGAACTAAGTTGAATGCAAATTAGCTACAAGTATGCTGTTTATGGAAACATGTTACATAACACGTGAACATCTTAAATACTAAGATGAAATGCAAAACTAATATGATACAATAATATGCTTGACATGAATGATGATTGAACGAAAATGTGAAACATGATATGCAAAGCTACTCTAACATACTAAACAACTTAATTACTAATATGCAATGTAATGCATAAATAAGTAAATAAGTAATAAAGTAAGGAATTACTCCCTTAGAGTTAATAAGGTAGAACGTCCTTGAGGGGTTTTCGTCATGGAGAAAACCGGCCCTAAACGTGCTCACATCAACTGGGTTTTGATCACGGGTCGAAGATGAACACGACGGTGGTTTCAATTTTACGATTGGAGGTCGGAAGGCGTCGGAATCAGACTTGCAAGGAGGGGTACGGGAGAGTAAAGTTTTGCAATTGTTTCTGGTATGAAACCAGAAAGCACATTGCACATATTTATGTTTAAAAGCTGCCGACACTTCTTGAAGGAATTCAGGGCTTGGTCCCTGAATTTTTTTCAACTTCTAAAATGGCTACAAGTTTTAAAAACTTCCAATTAAATCCTAAAATTTCTCCAAATTACTTAATTTATAATTTTTTTTTCTTTAAAATTTTCAAGTTGTTACAATTCTCCCTCTCTACAAGAAATTTCGTCCTCGAAATTTACCTTATGAGAAAAGTTGAGGAAACTAAGTCTCCATAGACTCCAATGTCTCCCAAGTAGCTTCAGAGGGGCCTCGGTTACTCCATTGAACTTTTACCATTGGAATACGCCTATTCCGAAGAACTCTTTCATCTCTTTCTAAGATCTGAACATGCTCCTCCATATATGACAAATCAGGTCTCAGCTCTACCTCTTCAACCTGAATGAAGTGACCGGGATCTAGACAGTATCGTCTCAACATTGATACATGAAAGACATCATGAATACGATTGAGCTCAGGAGCCAACTCAAGCTGATATGCAACAGGTCCTATCCTCTTCAAAATACGAAATGGTCCAATAAATCTTGGGCTCAATTTACCCTTACGCCCGAATCTCAATAATCACCCTTATGCAATCGGTCACGCAACTCAGTCCAACATATCGGAGTACGGCATTTACGCCCATAGAGTGCTTCGTAGGGTTCCATACGAATGCTGGTCTGATAACTGTTATTGTAAGCAAATTTAGCCAATGGCAAAAAGTTCTCCCAGCTGCCATGAAAATCAATTACGCAACCCCACAACATATACTCCAAAATCTGAATCACTCTCTCAGATTGACCATCAGTTTGTGGATGAAAGGATGTACTATAATCCAATCTTGTTCCCAAAGCTGTATGTAGCACCTTCCAAAATCTCGAAGTAAATCTCGGATCTTGATCAGAAATAATAGACAATGGAACACCATGCAATCTCACAATCTCTGAAATATACAATCTCGCCAGCTTGTCCAAAGTATAATTTACCCACACAGGAATGAAGTGAGCTGACTTTGTAAGTCTGTCAACAATCACCCAAATTGAATCCTTTTTCGAATGAGTCATTGGTAATCCGATAACAAAATCCATAGTAATACGCTCCCATTTCCATTCAGGAATCTTGGTAGGCTGTAACAAACCTGATGGATGTTGATGTTATACTTTAACTTGCTGACAAGTCAAACACCTAGCTACAAAATCTGAGATGTCCTTCTTCATGCCGACCCAATGATAGCTCTCTCTCAAATTTCGGGACATCTTATCTCCACCGGGGTAAATAGAATATGGACTACTATAAGCCTCATTAAGAATAATCTACCTCAACTCAGCATCATCAGGCACACAATATTGACCCTTAAAGCATAAAACTTTATCCTGATCAAGGGCGTAAATTGAACTTATCCCCTACTCTACTTGCTCAAAGATGGATAGCAAGGAGCTATCAAGGGGTTGCTTAACTTTAATTTCATCAACCAAAGTCGGCTTAACTTGTAATTCTGCTAACAAAGTGCCATCGTCATATAAATTCATCCTAGCCATTAAAGACCTCAACTCCGATACCGCCTTTCTACTCAAAGCATCCGCCACAATGTTAGCTTTACCAGGGTGATAATCAATCACACAATCATAATCCTTTAGAAGCTCTATCCAACGCCATTGTCTTAAATTAAGCTCCTTCTGGGTCAGAAGATACTTTAAGCTCTTATGATCAGTGCAAATGTAACACTTTTCTCCATAAAGATAGTGTCACCAAATCTTCAAGGAAAAAATCACTGCTGCTAACTCCAAATCATGAGTAGGATAATTACACTCATGCAGTCGTAGTTGATGTGACACATAAGCCACTGCCTTACCTTCCTGCATTAGAACACAACCAAGTTATGAATGAGAAGCATCACTATACACTGTAAAATCCTTCCCGGACTCTGGTTGAATCAACACTGGTGCTTGAGTCAAAACCGCCTTTAATTTCTCAAAGCTCTCCTGTTGTGCCTCGCCCCAGTCAAACGACACGTTCTTCCTTAATAGTTTGGTCAAAGGAGCAGCAATGATCGAGAAGCCCTCAACAAAACGTCGATAATATCCAGCCAAGCCCAAGAAACTACGGATCTCAGAGACTTTCTTGGGTCGTTTCCATTTCACAATAGCCTCGATCTTGCTTGGATCGACCTGAATACCTCGAGCAGAAATAATGTGCCCCAAAAACGACACTTCTTGAAGCCAAAACTCACACTTGCTTAGTTTGGCATATAGTCGATGCTCTCTCAAGGTCCGCAGAATAATCTTCAAATGCTCATCATGCTCTGTTTCCGTCGAGAATAAACCAGAATATCATCAATAAAGATAACCACAAATTGATCCAAATATGGTCGAAACACACAATTCATCAAATCCATGAAAGCTGTGGGAACGTTCATCAAACCAAAAGGCATTACTAAGAATTCATAATGACTATATCTAGTGCGAATAGCCGTTTTTGCAACATCCCCTTAACTTTCAATTGGTAATACCCCGAACGAAGATCAATCTTAGCGAATACAGTAGCTCCTCATAACTGATCAAATAAGTCGTCAATCCTAGGTAATGGGTACTTATTCTTGACCGTCATCTTGTTCAACTTCCGATAGTCAATACATAGCCTTAGCGACCCATCCTTCTTTTTCACAAACAAAACTGTAGCTCCCCAGGGTGAGGTACTATGCCGAATAAATCCTCGATCAAATAATTCTTGCAATTGAACCTTCAACTCCTTAAGTTCCTTTGGAGCCATGCGATACGGTGCCATAGAAATAGGTGAAGATCCTGGATAAGTCTCAATCTCGAACTCTACCTCTCTATCAGGAGGTAACCCAGGCAACTCCTCTGGAAAAACATCAGGAAACTCGCTAACTGTACGAATCTCCTCGATCATGGATAAAGAACCTTTAGTGTTCAGAATACAGGCAATGAAAGTCTCATATCCCTTCCTAATCATACGATCAATTTCCATATCTAAAACAATATTAGAGAGATAGTCACGTCGTTCACCAATTAACACAACAGTCCGACCATCTAAAGGAAGCTCCATAAGATCACCGAGAAAAATTTCTCCTTGAACCTCCATAGGACAACGCCAAAATACTTTATTCATTAATACTGCCTGTTCTACTGGACTCGTAACTGTAATAGTATTATCAGTGTTCTCGATCAGAATCTGAAGATTTCGAGATATTGAACTCGATACATATGAGTGTGTGGAGCCATTGTCCAATAATGCAAAGTATGGAATAGAATATATAGTAAATGTACTTGTAATAACCTCAGGCTCATCTCTATCATCCCGACCTCTAGTGGCATAAACCAATGCTGGCTGTCTAGCCTCAGAAACTATTGGCTCTCTATTCTACTGAGGTCGGGCTCTACTATCTGTTCTGGATGCTGATCCGGAAGGTCTGAACTGATGCCTGGGAACGTGCAGGAGTCTATTAGTTGTCCTCTCAGATGAAACTAACTGTGGGCAATCCCTCCAGAAATGACCACTAGATCCACACTGGTAACAAAGTCCCATCTTCTTACGACATTCTCCTCTGTGTTGAATACCATAATACTCACATAGGGGCCCATAATAAAATGACGAGGAAACACCTCGATTGACAACTGAAGGTGAAGATACTGTAGGCCTAAAACTGGTATTGCTTCTCAAAGGACCTGAAGTACGAGTCTTCTTTCCAGGACGTGCAGAGGACTCGTTCGGGCCAGAAAATTTCCCAGGCCGCTATCGATCAACACGATATCTTGTTGGAGCTAATGTCTCTACCTCCTCAGCATCCTTCGCTCTGCCCACCAACACATCAAAAATCTCATCTTGATGGGTAACAACCTGCCTACATAGCTCATATTTGAGTCCGAGAGCAAATTTACGGCATCGATCTCTCTCAGTAGGTACCATACTGAATCCATACTTTAGCAACTTCAAAAACTCGATCTCATACTCAGAAATGGTCATGTCTCCCTGAACTAGGTCCTGGAACTGCTGTCGTCTCTGAGCTAAGTATCGCTCTCCCAGAAAATGGCTCCTAAAGCGTTCCTTAAAGAAATCCCAAGTCAGACGATCAGCACTACTGACTACTGACTCCCACTAGGTGTGGGCATTACCATCTAACATCGCCACTGTACCCAGATATCTCTTAGTTGGATCCAATCCTAACTGATCCATGCGTCTTTCTGTATCCTGGAGCCAATCTTCCGCTTCCGTCGGAGGTCCACCAATCTGTCCTCCAAAAGTTCTGACTCCATTGGAAATCAGAGTCTGAGAAATAGGCACCTCAGATCCAACACCAACAGCTCTGACAGCTCCCTGAATCAACTGTAGAAATTGTCCACCAAAATTCTCATCAGGTGCAACTTTGGTAGAATCAGGCTCAATATCAGTCGCTCCTATGATCGGTGTAGTCATGCCAATACTAGTGGCAGGAGGCAAGTTCGTCGAGGTCACAGGAGTAGGATCACCTGTCGGAAGTGGGGATCTACTCAAATCTCATCGATTGGGTCTGCAAATCTAGCCATTCGACCTCGTCCACGGCTATTTCGATGTCCACGTCTAGCACTCATTTTGGTAGATCTCTAGTTTACTACAGAATATAAAACTTAGGGTTAGATAAGCACTTGGAGTCTCAAACACATTTAAAATTGTAAAAACTTTGACACATGGCCTTAGCAACAGGTTTTGTAAAATATTTCAAAACCATATTTTCAATTTGGACTCATACACAGTCCGAGGTTTAAACCAAAAGCTCTGGTACCAATTAAATGTAACTCCCTAGACCCAGCCTATGCGTTTCGACTACGTCTAGT